ACATGGATCTCACCAGGTATAGTACACAGAAATCAAACTGAGTACATCTGTGGAAAGAGACGGTGCACCCAAAGAAGATAGGAGCAATATACAAAGCCATTGTACCAAAATCAAATGGCTGATATTCAACCATTTCAATAGATAGCATATGATCAAGAGCCAATGGTACTGAGGGAAGAAGCCCAAGGTACACTGAAGGCATTGACAAAGAACAAGACTCTGGGAATTGATAGAATACAACACTGATGCAGCACTGGAAGCGCTCATACATCTATGCCAAGAAATTTGGAAGACAAACACCTGGCCAATTGACTGGAAGAGATCCATATTTGTGACCGTTAAAAAGAGCTGACTCAACAAATTGTGAAAATCAATAGACAATAACACTAATAATATTAATGCCACATGCAAGTAAATTCTGCTAAAGATAATTTTTAAATGGCTGCAAGGGTACATTGATAGGGAACTTCCAGAGGTTCAAATCAGATTCAGACTAGGACATGGAACAAGTGATATCAACTGCTGATGTCAGACAAATCTTGGCTGTAAGCAGAGAGTACCAGAAAGATGTTTACCTGTACTTTATTGACTATGCAATCATGACAAGCTACGAACAACATTGCAGAGAATGAGTATTCTGGAACACTTAATTGTGTTCATGAGGAAGTCGTTCAAACAGAACAAGGGACACTGAATGGTTTAAAATTAGGAAAGGTGGTCGCCAGGGTTGTACTATTCCATCATACTTATTCAATCTGTATGAAGAAGAATGTGGCATCAGGATTGGAGAAAGAATCATTAACAACCTGTAATAAGCAGATGATATAAGCTCGCTTGCTGAAAATGAAGAGGACTTACAATATTTCCTGGTGAAGACCAAAGCCTTCAGTTGCACCTCTGTGTAAAGAAAACAAAAATCCTCATCACTGGACCAATAAATAACATCAAGGGAAATAGAGTAAAGATTGAACTTGTCAAGGACTTCATTTTGCTCGGACCCACTATCAACACTCATGAAAGCAGCAGTCAAGAAATCAAATGATATATTGCATTAGGCAAATCTGCTGCACAAGACTTCTTTATAATGTCTAAGAGCAAAGGTGTCAGTTTGAGGACTAAGGTGTGACCAACCCAATCTATTTTCAATGGACTCATATGCATGTGAATGTTGGAAAACAAATAAAGAAGACCATAGAATAACTGATACATTTGATTTCTGGTGTTGGAGAAGAATATTAAAAGTAACATGGAAAAAAAAAAAGTAACATGGACTGACAAACAAATCTGTGTTGTAAGAAGTACATTGTGAATGCTTCTTAGAAGCCAGAATGGTCAGACTTTGTCTCTCATACTTCAGACATATTATCAGGAGGGACATCATGCTTTGCAATGGAGGGTGAGCATAAAAGAGGGAGACTCCCAACGAGATGAATTGACATAGTTGCAGCAGCAGTGGGCTCAAGTGTAGCAACAATTTTGAGGTTGGTGCAGGACTGGGCAGTGTTTCATTCTGTTGCGCATAAGGCTGCTATGAATTGGAACCAGCTCGACAGCACCGATCAACAATTTCTCTTTGATGGTCCTGGTGTGGTACTGTAAGATAAGCTCTAAACTGAGAACTACAAAGAAGGCAGTTCAAACCCACCAGCTACTCCTAGGAAACCCTATACAGCGTTGTTGTGAGTCAGAACCGACTCAATGGTATCTAACCATAAAACATTTTTCTTTACACTTGAGGAATCAAAGGAAAAAAATAAAACATTTGACATAACAGTTGAATAATCGGTGGCAAATTTTCAAGATCCTGAAATAGCAAAAGTCAAACATCTGGAAAGTCAAAACCCATTTAGACTGGAAAAGTAGCATCAATGTGTCCTGTTAAATCTTGGACATAACAGTGCAGTGTTGTTGTTAAGTGCCAATTTTAGGAATTCTGGTAGCGTAGTGGTTATGAATAGGGCTGCTAACCTCAGGGTCAGAAGTTCGAAACTAACAGCTGTTCCACGAGAAAGATGAGGCTTTCTGCTCCGGTAACGATTTACAGCCTGGGAAACCCTGTACAAGGCCGTTATGAGTCCGAACAGACTCGACGGCACATAACCACCACCACCAAGGGTAGGCACTCCTGGTGTGGCACTGCTAACAGAAAGATTGGTGGTTCGAACCCACAGTCGCTTTCGCTATGCTGCACAGCACTTAACAACCACCACCAAGGTTACATACAATCAACACAGTACCACTGATGTCTTTGATCTTGATTATCTGTCAGGTGTCTCCACTATACAGTTACTCTTCCCTTTTCTCCCTTTCCACACTCCACTCAAGTTTGCACAAGTAGTCCCTGTGCAAACCCATTTAAGAGTAGGGATTTAGGCTCAACCTCTTTGAGGTTGGAATTCTTCTGGCTGGGGAATTTACCTCTTTTCTCTCATTTGTTTATCCAGTTATTTATCAGGATGCTATTGTTAAGTGCTGTTGAGTCGGTTCTGACTCACAGCGACCCTGTATAGAATTTCCGAGGAGCAGTTGGTGGGTTTGAACCACCGACCTTGTGGTTCTCAGTCCAGGGCTGATCCTAAAGCGCCACACCAGTATGGATTCACAGATAGGATCCAATATGATGTTGCTGGGTTTTTTCCCCTCTAATTGCTCAAATTTTGGAGCCCCTTGACTTGGCTCCTGTGAACATTTGAGATTATCCCCAATATTTTTTTGTCTCATTTTTTAAATATATTTTTTTTCCAATATACTTCTAACCTTTTTTTATGTTAAGATCTTTTATGAAATGCCGCTGAAGGTAAATAATTGGGCTTTCTTTTAATGTGCTAGGCCAAAAAAAAAAAGTTTTCGATATTATTCTGGGTTCCAAAATTCGTTAAAAACCCAAGGTTCCGAATTGACCGCCAACACCTCTTCACTCCAAACACTATGCAAACCTGACTAAGCCCAAGCGCAGGCGAAAGGAGAAGCGTCTCCGGAGCCCGCTTGCGGAAAGGGGCAACAGACGAAAGGGACCGCCCCTTAGAATTCGCTTCGAGAATCAGCCAATCCCTAAAGCGCTCAGGCCGAGCTGAGCCAATAAGTGGTCGCGCTATAATCTCGTGTCAAACCATGAGTCCCGCCGGAGTCGGTAGCGGGCGGAAGTGGGAGGTCCGTTGGTCGTGACTTCGTAGGTTCCAAGATCATTGTTGTTAAATGCCGTAGAGTCGTTTCCGGCACATAGCGACCCTGCATAAGGTTTCCGAGGAGAGGCTGGTGGGCTTGAGCTGCCGAGCTTGAGGTTCAAACGACTTTGCAGCCCTGGTGTAGTGCTGTGGGTTAATGCGCTGGACGGCAAAGGCGGTTTGAACCTCAAGGTCGGCGGTTCAAGCTCACCAACTGCTCCTCGGAAACCCTATACAGGGTCACTATGGATAGGGACCAACTCGAAGGCACTTAACAATTATTTAAGGACTCCTGGGCCCAAGATCATAGCCGGCTGAAAATCCGAATAGCGCGAGGCTACAGGGCACCGATGCGGACCTGTAGGGTGGTCTGGCGGGCGGCGGCAGAGCAGGGTCCGCCTGCAGTCCGGACGTTGGCGGCCGAGGGTGGGTGGACGTCAGGAGGCAGTTTGTGAACCTCAAATGCAGACTTCTCAGCCCACCTCATAACTATTGAATCGGCAATCCAGCGGCGAGCCTTTAAGTGATTTAAATACACATTGCAATCTAGAACTAAGCAGCGGGTTTCCTCACTGGCAAACTGTTGTTAAGTGCCTAGCGACCCTGTATTAAACCGCTGATTTTGCAGTCCAACGCATTAACCCCCAGCGCCACTGGCAAACTTTAAGGACTCAGAAATTAAGCCATAGAGGGGCGGCTTGACAGCCAGTCGCAGTAATCCCAACAGTAATGACAACGTTATGAGGTACAAATGATGGTTTCCAGGTCTTGAAGCATCTCCAGCCTTCACTTAACCTTGGGGCCTTGGTTGCATTATTTGTAGAATGAATTGGTGCTCTCCTACCTACCTTGTTCTCACGGAGGTGATGTGTTGATAACGAAATAGTGAGCCCAATGGATTGTGGGAATGAATGGAAGACGCCTTTATTCACTGAGTGGGGATACTGTACCCAAACTCATTGCCATCTAGCTGCCCCCTAGGGTTTCCAAAGCTGTAATCTTGTTTATTCACCCAGCCTTATGCACGATTTAGTCTGATGTGGCTCTATAGGACAAGCACTTGATTGCTAAGCACAAGGTCAGTGGTTCAAACCCACCAACCTCTCAGACCCTTATACAGGGTCACTGAGTTGGAACCTGGGACAGACTCAACAGCACTGAAAGCAAGTATCTATAGTTAATTGAACACCTAGAATCCCATGTGGGTCAAACCCACCCAGAGCCACCTTGGAAGGAAGGGCTAGACCTGCTTCCAAACGACCACAGCCTTGAAAACCTTACAGAGTGCAACTCTACTCTGCATACACGGGGTCGCCATGCGTTAGAACCTGCTCAGTGACAACTGGTTCCATTTTTAGTTTGGGATGGGACGCCTATTTTGTGCACAGTGTGGGGTTTGGGAGGAAGAGTTTGAAGGAATTAAGAGATTGGAAACAAGTTGGCCAAACAGAGGCCACCAGTTTCTAGCTTTGAGGAGATGTAGACCTGGTTTTCAGTGGTGGCCATGGGTATCGAAAGAAGTGAAACTAAGTCAGTGAAGGGAAGGAAAGAATGAAGACTTTGAAACATTCTCGACTTAGAAACTCAGAGAAAAAATTTAAGGGCATCTCCTTAAAGGAAACCCTGTAGACTATAATAGCAGAACCCTGAGAGTTACCACCTAGAGGCAGGAAATATAAATGCAGGAGGCTTTGAGGGGACCCCACTTAGACCAAGTCAAATCAGAGAAAGCGTTCCAATGAGACATGAGAACAATTGTGAAATAGGAGCATGTTAGTATTCAGATCTAGTGAAGGAAATGATGAGACAGATCATCATTGCGGACACCTGCTCCCATCAGAGCCCGTAGTCACAGGCCTCGGGGCTGTCCTGCAAGTAGAGATCGAAGAATCCTCGGAGGGCATTCACATCTGTGTGAAGGGCAGATATGCTGGGATCCTTCCTCATGGCTGCCATCCAGAGCGTAAGTTTTGGAGTGTGGTCTGCACACCTGTGGGAGGAGTGGAGCATGAAAACTGGGGGCTTGCGAGTCCCCTATGTCATCACCAGCACTGCAGTATCATTTTGTTCTCCTCTAGCCTTGAAAATCCTTCATTAAATGTGTGGAGTCTTAGAATATCCAATTTAAAGGGATTTTAGATCTTCCTTTTGTAGAAGAATTTGAGATAAGAGGGAAGCGACTTGATTAGTTAGCATGAGAACTGGGACTAGCCCTTGTCCAAACTGAGAGATCAGTAACTTTTTAAACAGAAAATACGAAAAAACAAGGATATCTTTTATTATTCTATGTCCAATTTAAGGATCTTTGGTAGCATTGTGGTTATGAATCGGGCTGCGAACCGCAAGGTCAGCAGTTCGAAACTACCAGCTGTCTCATGGGAGAAAGATGAGGCTTTCTGCTCCTGTAAAGATTTACAGCTTTGAAACCCTGTACAGGGTAGCTACGAGTCAGAACCAACTCCACGGCACATAACAACAACAACAGCAAATGTCCAATTTGTGCCAAGTGGAAGGACACCAGGGTGACTGCCAACAGAATGCCAAAAAGGGCCACATGTATCTAAAAATTTCCTTCAAAACATGGTGTTTGGAAACAGTAATGTGGAAATCTTACAGGTAAATGGGTGTAAGCATTAACTATAGGAACCTGCACAATGCCCTTAATGGATTTTTAACCAAAAGGGAAGAAATGACTTAAAACATGTCAAAGAACATATCCCAGAGCAAGGGTTGTGGTGCGTGTGGGTGTGTAACATGCCCTGACGAATCTAAGACTGATTGTCCTCACTCTCCAGTTGTATTAAATATTGTCAGTTTTTTTTTTTTCAGGGGAAAAAAAAAGATCAATATAAACATTCCAACTGTCATCATGGTAAGTTATATGCAAAATATTCAAATGTCTTACCCAGTTAACTCCAGTGCTTCCAGGCGTTCAAACCATGGCCAGATTAGGTAATCAATCATAGAAAGAGAGTTGCCACCAAAGAAGGCTGTTTTCTTCCTGGTCAGAACCTGTACGTTAGACAACAGAGGAATAGTTATGCATTCAAAATGATGCAGACAAACTGAGTAGAGCAGATGAGCGTGGCAGCTTTACTGCAAACATATCCCAGTTTGTGTTTTGTTTTGTTTTGTTATTTGGTCAGTTTAAACACTTTAGACTCTGTTAGTTTGGAGGAAATAAAACAGCAAAATAAACTGGAAAGTAGAAACTAAAACAAGCCGGAGAGTACACTCTCTAATACATATAATACAGACCCAGAATATATAAAGAACTAGGCAACAATAAGAAAAAAGGCAAATGACCCATTAAGAAAATAGGCAAGATGTGGATTTCACAAAAGAGGCTGACCCAATGGTCAGTAACCATTTGAAGAGGAGCTCGACTGCATTAGTCAGGGAAATGCAAATTAAAAACAAAATGCAATACCAGTACACACCTACCTGAACAGCTAAAATGAACAAGGTCAAATTAGCAAGGGATGGAACCACTGCTGACAGGAATGTAAATCGGCACAATCATGTTTAAACAGTGTCTACTAATCTACTGAAGCTAAGAGTGTACTAAAGCCCTTGGTGTGGTGGTAGTTGTGTGCCGCCTAGTCAGTTCAACTCATAACAACCCTGTAAACAGTTTCCAAGGCTGTAAATCCTGACAGGAGCAAAAAGCTTCATCTTTTTGACTGGTACATTCAAACTACTGACTTTGCAGTTAGCAGCCCAGCTCGGAATCCACCACACTACCAGGGGTCCCTAAGTAACTATCCATAATGACCTGTTAATTATATTTCCCCTTGGAAAAACAAACATGTTCAACAAAAAATAATGTGCAAGGATGTTTTGTTTGCAGCACATTTGTAATAGACCAAATGTTGATTAAAGTTCATCAGCAATGGGATGGATAAATTGTGGCAAAGTCCTATTTTGGATTATTATACAAAAACTGGACTGCTAACCACAAGGTCAGCGGTTCAAACTTTCCAACTGCTCCTTGGAAATTATACAGGGTCACTGTGAGTCAGAACTGACATGACAGCCCTTAACAACAACAATACAAAAACTGAACAAACTACACACAACACAGATGAACGTCACAAACTTAATGTCAAGTATAAGAGTCTGACCTAAAAGAGTGTATGTGATAAGATTTCATTCGTATAGAGTACAAAAGTAGCCCAAATAAATGCTCTGCTTCTTAATATGGGGGCTGGTGCTATGGCTGCATTCACCTTGAAAATTCATCAAACAATGAGGAAATCACAATGTAAACTTCAAAAAATTTTTATACCTGAGCAATGAAAATACTGCATATTAAAGCTTTTGGGGTACAGCTATGGTGATAAAAGTAAATGTATACTATTATTAATGCATTAAGAAATCAAGTCTGAAAATATATGCATTAAGTACTTAAGCGCTAGTAAAAGAGCAACAATAAATGTAAAGTAATTCTAAGAAAAAGATAAAAATAAGTTGTAAGCAAACATCAGAGAATGAAGAAAACATTATTTGAGGAAAACTGATAAAAAGCGATAAAAGGCACACCTAGCAATAGTAATCAAGAAAACCAGAGAAAAGGCACAAAATTGGAAATAAAAACGGGTATACAAGTGGTATGTAGCGATTTTAAAATATAAACATGAACAGCAAGGAAATCAAATGCTGATAAATCTGAAGAGGTGCTCAAATGCATTAGTCAAGGACATGCAAATTAAAACCCAAATCGAATACTACTAGCTACACACCAGAAAAGCTAAAATGAACAAGATAAAATTAGCAAGGATATGGAACTGCTGCTGACAGGAATGCAAATGGAAATTTGAAAGCTTGGAATAAATGGAAAATTTTCAAGAAAATCTTAAATTACCAAAATTGATTAAAGAAGAAATATAAATCCCCCACCCCAAGGAGAATACCACTATTATTCAAATTTATGC